CAGGAGATGGGCCCCAAGGCCCCCGGGAGGGACCAGCCTCCAGACTCGCATGTCGGCATCGGCTCCAGCTGCCGGAGCCGCCAACGGCGAGTTGCCAGCGACATCTGGTGGCACAGGGACACACAGTCCTGGGGACGCACGAGTGCCACCACGGATCAGGAAGCACACACCGCTGCACAGGGGAACGCACAGACCATGTGCGTAAGGATTGCCACCATGGGGAGACCATCGGCCTAAGGACACGGAGACAGCGATCCTAGGGACACATGGACCACACCATGATGTGGGGACCACCATCCTGGGGACACATGGGGATGTCCAGGCTATGCTAAGAGGGCCCCAAGAACCACCACCATGGGCACATGTGGAGCACAGGGAGCAGCAGGGACAAGCCGCAGGGCCCCAGGGTGGGCAGGGGCACCAGACGAGGATGCTCCCCCACCACCAAACCTGGCAGCAGAGCCAGGGCCTCCTGACCAGCAGCAGCAACTCAGGCAGTGCCCAGAGGAGACGGTGGCAGGAAAACTGCCCTGCAAAGGGGGGCCCTGGCCCTGCTCCCCGCCGCAGTGCCTGCACCGGGACCGCAGCGCCCCCCCCCCCGCCATGTCCCACCTTGCAGCCGCAGCTCCACCACGTTGCTCTCGTCCTCCAGCCCGTCGATCACCTCGCAGCGGTACTTGCCGCCGTCCTGCAGGCGCAGGTCGCTCACCACGAGCGAGGCCTCGCGCCGGCCGTTCCGCCGCAAGCTCGCGCGGCCCTTGAAGTCCCCGAAGGCCACTTGGGTCTTGCCGATGGCCACCAGCACATCCTGCTCCTTGGTGTAGTCATCGCGCAGCTTGGACCACTTGATGCGGATCTTGCTCTTGGCCTCCTGCTCAGGCTCGTAGTGGTAGTGGCAGGGCAGGGTGACATTGGCGCCACTGGAGCTGTAGACAGGGTCTTTGGGGGTCTCCACCATCAGTTTGGCCACACTGAAGTAAACCACTGGGGACAGGGAGGGAAGGGTGGCGATGGGCAGGTTGGGCACCCCGGGGCTAGCAGCGTCCCCCGCTTCGGCTCCTCCTAGCCCCAGTCTCCTGCCCAGGAGGACACTGAGCCCCTGGTGCCACCTCGCGGTACCCCTCGCCCCTGCCAGGCCCTGCTGTACCGTTCTCATGGCCGTCGCCCTTGTCGTTCATCATGTGGTTGTAGTAGAAGCCGTTGTAGAAGGGGTGCTGGTAGGAGCTGCCGCTGGGGCGCAGCAGGGTGGCCCCGAGGAGCAGCAGGAGCAGGAGCATCGCGGGGCAGCGAGGGTCCGGCCCCGGCCCGGGCTGCGGGCGGCCAAACCTGCGTTAATGTCCGGGCTGCAGATGGTAACACCCCCATCTTGCCCCATCC